TATTGGTGTTTAATATGTTCATCGATGTGTTTAATCAAAATCAGTTAAATGTGAACATTAGTGCTTTTTATTCAGAAAATCCACACATCACATTTCAGAATCTGGAATATAGACCAAAATTAAATGTTAATTATTAATATTTTTATATTTATCACCACAGTAATAGTGTTACACACATTAGTAATTGTAAACACTCAAAATAATACATATGTTGGTTTAGTGCTTACCTATAAGAGTAAACGTTTTGAATAATCACGTTAAAAGTTACAAATGTTGTATTTGGTGCCTGTTTGTTTTCCAAATATATTAGTGTGTGTGACTGACAGGGATTAACTTAAAACACCTTGGGCAGGGCTTTATAAAGTTTTGTCCATTTCCTGGGCAGCACGGTGGCACAAATGGTAGAGTTGCTGCCTCTCAGCGAGCAGGTCCCTGGTTCAAATCCTGAGGGCCTTTCTGGGTGGAGTTTGAATGTTCTCTCCATGCTGTGTGGGTTTTCTCCGGGTACTCTGGTTTCCTCCCACAGACCAATAACATGTATTTTAGGCTGATTGGTAACTCTAAATTGTCCTTAGGTGTGAGTGAATGGTTGTTTGTCTCTATGTGTCCCTGTGATGAACTGGAGACCCGTCCAGGGTGTACCCCGCCCCTCGCACAGTGATTGCTGGACATGGGCACCGGCGACCCCCGTGACCCAAAATGGAAGAAGCGGGTAAAAGATAATGGATGGATGGTTGTCCATTTCCTTCTATCAGTTCTGCCACATCCAATATGGCGACCGCTCTGACGTACGGCTGCAATGTGCCAGCCCACTCAATGAGGTGTTCACTAAAACTGCCTCAGCAGTTCTTTGTTGTTGGGAAAAAAAAGTTCTCTGTTGTGATCGCCCTGGCAGATGACAACAGCCGATCAGCGATGGAGAAAGGTCAGGGGAGCTTTGCTATGAACCAATAATGACGAATGATTGGTTGAAATGTCCATCCGTCCATCCATTATCTTTTACCTGCTTCTTCCATTTTGGGTCACGGGGGTCGCCGGTGCCCATGTCCAGCAATCACTGTGCAAGGGGCGGGGTACACCCTGGACGGGTCGCAAGTCCATCACAGGGACACATAGAGACAAACAAGACAACCTTCTACTCTCTCACTCACACCTAGAGACAATTTAGAGTTACCAATCAGCCTAACATGCATGTTTTTGGTCTGTGGGAGGAAACCGGAGTACCCGGAGAAAACCCACGCATGCACGGAGAGAACATGCAAACTCCTCCCAGAAAGTCCCCTGGACCGGGGTTTGAACCAGGGACCTGCTCGCTGAGAGGCAGCAGCTCTACCAGTTGCACCACCGTGCTGTCCTGGTTGAAATGTGTTAACTCAAAAACCACAGATCTGATTCCAAATCCACCCAAATTATCCCCACCCGCCCAAAGCAATTTTTGCCTGCAAAATTAGAATGAAAACCGCCCAGTTGGTGGTAAACTGCCCAATCTGGCAACACGGCCTCCACATGCTCCCTCCTTCCGAGCACACAGTTGTTCTCTTTCAAGGATTGAAGGATTCAAGTTTCTTTATTTGTCATACACACCACATGTGGTACATGAGGTGGAATGAAATTTTGTACACAGGGTCCCATTTACATCCAACAAAGTATTAAAATGTAAAAGAAACACAGTAATAAGATCTAAGATATGAACTAAGAAAAATGTTAACTAAAAATACACTAACCACTAGTAGCATAAACAACAATAAGCCGAACAGCAGCACGAACATGAGTCTGTGCCAACTAGTTCTTTTAGACGCCTTAAGTTAGTTCACAAACCTCAGAAACTTACCTTAACTTTTAAGCATTAGTCTTAAATTTAGATAATATCTCTACTCAAAGTTTTAATTATTTTATATTATTCACTCCAACATTTTTCAGCAAGGTCATCTGGACAGTTTCTTTTTTTGTGCTGAAACATTTCGCTATAAAGAAACTGTCCAGATGACCTGACTGAAAAATGTTGGATTTAATACCTGGATTATTGAGCATGGACTTTGTTGTTATATTATTCACCCTTCTGAAATACCTTTGGTGATACAGTAGTATCTCATTTTTCGCGGGTATTTGGGACCACGCCCACCCGCAATAAGTGAAAAATCGTGAAGTAGGGATACAGTAGTCCAAGTTCAGTAAACTTTGTCATGACGTGCCAGGTTGTAATCAACTCATCACCTGTTACTCCCAATCTCCCTCCTTAAATAAACAATTTAAATTTAAATACTGTAACTGTGTCATGTCCGGTCTTACTTTGAAAATCCGTGATATAGCAAACCTGCGGTAAACAATAATTTCATATTGTTGTTATTATTCAAACTTGCAATAAACATTACAGAATACAACAATAATGACAACAAATAGCACTTGTATATTTATAAACCTTGACCTACCATTCGGTGTTAGCTTGTTTCTACTTCCTGTCCTCTCAAACCCCAGCCAGTCGAAGCAGATGGCCACTCTTCCTGAGCCTGGTTCTTCTGGAGGTTTCTTCCTGCTAAAAGGGAGTTTTTCCTTTCCACTGCTGCCAATGTGCTTGCTCAGGATGGGAGACTGTGACGAAGTGACGATTCAAGGCAATCTGCTGGCTTTCTTAGTAGGGCTGGGCGATATGGACCAAAATGAATAACTCAATATCTTAAGATAAATTGCGATATACAATATATATCTCGATAATTTTTTCTTTCCATAAAGTAACAACAAAAATATATTTCTGAGTCAAAGCTTTGTCCCAGTTGTCACACAGGCACATTTATTAACAACAGCTGTAAATGGACAAAATAAATGTAATGGACTGTACTTATATAGCGCCTTTTTAGCTTATCAAGATACTCAAAGCGCTTTACACAACAATCTGTGTCCTCATTTACCCGTTCATACTGCACTCTACAAGATCTCTACAAAGCTAATTGAACAAATCATTCTAAAGAGACTAATTAGTGCTTTAGATCACATTCATACACAGTTCAGACACATCAGAGGCAATGAGGGGTTTAGTGTCTTGCCAGGGACACTTCAGCATGAGACTGCCGGTGGATTTGAGCCCCCCCCCCCCCAACTCTTGCATTGGAGGACGACTGCTCTAACCACTCAGCCACAGCCGCCCAAATGTCTAAAAAATTTACTATTTACATATAATAGTTTGCTTTTTAGGCATTTATTTACATACGCAAGTGCAAGTTTCAAGACATTTGATAATGTCAATAGAAAAATCAAAGCAAATATGTTCTTAGTGGCTAACAAGACTGCTAACTTTAGCAGTTTTGTTAGCTGCTAAGGACCGTGTCTTTAGTGATATGATAAGCTGCTGGTTTATTCACGTCACCTCTCATAAGGCACAGCACAGGTAGAAGAGTTTCGTATTGTAGTTTGTCTCAGGGAAAGAAGCCACACAGCCAGAGCTGCAGCAACAAGTTTAACACACTCTTCATACTCCACTTTATAGCTCTGCTTTCAAGGGTGAAAAAGGTTCGTTGTGCTCGAACATTTCCGTCGAAACTTGTTTTCTACAGAAAACATTTTTCTGCTGCACATCTGACAAATTAAATCCAAACATCTCCAAATAACAGAGCCATTGTTTCCCCCTGCTCACCAGTTCTGCGACTTGCTGTCTCTCCATTTTGTGACTGCGGCTGCTACATGCCAGTCAGCCGCTCCACCTGGAGAGAAGCAGGAAGCAGGGGGAGAGCGCACGGGTTGGCCTGAGTTTGTAGTGAGTGAGAGGAGGGGGGCCGTGTGGGAGAAGTCAAGTCAAGTCAACTTTATTTATAGAGCAAATTTAAAGCAGAACCTGTTATCAAAGTGCTTAACAACAACAACAACAACAACAACAACAACAACAACAACAACAACAATCAATGGGAGTAAAATTAATAAAAAAAATGCAATACACTAATAATAATACTGAAGAATTAATAAAAAGCATTTAAAACATAGGATCACAGAACAAAAACACTAAATCAATTTACACTATGTGAAATGCCTGCGAGAACAAATGTGTTTTTAGCAGAGATTTGAAGTGAGGAAGGGAGGTGGCCAGCCTGTTGTTGGGGGGCAGGTTGTTCCAGAGTTTGGGGCCCATGACTGAAAAATCCTGATCTTCTCTGAGCTTCAGTCTTGTTTTTGGAACAGCCAAAAGCAGCTGATCGGATGATCTCACGGCCCGAAATAACGCAAGTTTCCAGTAGCTCAGAGAGGCAAAGGGGTGCGAGGCAATTTAAGCATTTGAAGGTCAACAGAAGAATTTTAAAGACTATCCTAGTATGCACAGGGAGCCAGTGAAGGGAGGACAGAACTGGTGTAATATGTTCAGACCTACGAGTTCCGGTTAAAAGCCGAGCAGCATCATTCTGGATGAGCTGAAGACGTGAGATGGAGGCCTGGCTGACCCCAGCATAGAGTGCATTGCAATAGTCCAATCGGGTCGCGACAAAGGCATGGACTAGTTTCTCAAGGTCGGGTCTGGACAACACTGGCTTGAGCTGGCTTGAGCTTAGCTACCTGTCTTGAGTTGGAAGAAGCTTTTCTGCAGAAGAGTTGATTTGTTTGTCAAACTTGAAGTCAGAGGCTAAAACCATCCTGAGATTTTTACCAGACTGCTTGAGATATGGCTGAAGAGAGTCCAGATTGATAGGATCAGAGGCACAGTTGAGCTAGGGCTAAAGACAATGACTTCAGTCTTCTCATCATTAAAACTTATGAAATTTGAAGCCATCCAGGCCTTAATGTCATTCAGACATTTTAACAGAGGGTGAATGGAGCAAACACTTGCTGGCAGGTAGATCTGACTGTCATCAGCATAACAATGGAATGAAAGATCATGTTTTCTCAGGTTGGACCCCAGTGGGAACAAATAAAGTGAGAACAGAAGGGGTCCAAGAATCAAACCCTGTGGGACCCCGCAAGAAAGAGGCAATGAGGCGGATACATTATTACCAACCTTGACACAAAAGCTCCTATCGCTCAGGTATGAGCGGAACCATTCTAATGCAGCACCTGTGATCCCAACCCACTGTTCCAGCTGTGATATAAGGATACTGTGGTCAACAGTATCAAAAGCAGCAGTAAGGTCGAGGAGCACAAGTACCACAAATTGACCAGAATCATTTGATATCATGATTTCGTTACAAACCCTCACTAATGCTGTTCCAGTGCTGTGGAGTTGCTTAAAACCAGACTGAAAAATCTCAAAAATTCTATTCTCATTCAAAAACTTATTTAACTGAAAGAAAACTATTTTCTCCAGGATTTTGGACAGGAAGGGAAGTTTTGAGATTGGTCTGAAATTTGAGCAAGTTGAAGGGTCAAGTCCAGGTTTCTTAAGTAACGGATGAACTACTGCATGTTTGAAAACATCAGGAACCACACTTGTCACAATACTACTAGTTACAATAGTAAGAACAGAGGGTCCAATCGTAGGTAGAATTTGTTTGAAAAACGATGCAGGAATGGGGTCAGCGGGGGAACCGGAGGGTTTCATCTGACCAACGACTTTGTTTAGAAATGGGAGTGAAATGGGTTCAAACTGTTTGAAGACAGCTGAGCAAGGGACAAAGACAGCGGTAGGGCCGAGTACTGAACCGAGGTTCTTTTATGGCACTGACCGAACTGCACCGGTCGGTGTATGTATTGAAACGTCACTCTTCTTTCGGTGTCAAGTTTTGGTATTGGCTGGAAGGTGTCACGTGGTTTCAGCATGCAGGCTGGTAAAACACCAGACATATGACAAACAGACTACACCCAGATTACACCCAGAGCTGTATAGAGCTGTCATACCTAATCTATGTATACTGTAATGTATGTCTATGGTGCTGGTGATGCCCACAGACGGGTTCACGTGTGCAGCGCGTGTTGTCGAACGGCTTCGACAACACGCGCTGCAGAAAGTTGCTCCGTGTTTTTCTGCGAGGAGATCAGCAGCCTCCCCCTCTCAGCATTAAAGTCAGCCTGTGAGTAGAGCCTGAATGTCCTGATTCATTATCTCCACGACCGGACTCTTCATCAAAGAACTCCGAGGACGGCTCTGCGTGCTTCAGCTGGTGAGTTTACGTTTGTTAGCGTAAATGCAGCTTAACACGTACACCGCGGTGAAATAAACTATGATCCATGTAATGCTAACTTTAAGATATTAGTGTGTAAATTTATTTTATCTACGTAGCTAGCTAAACTCAGAAGCTAACTAAAGATTGACAGTAACATAAATCTTAGCTTGTAAAAATGCTCATCCATCCAGTCAGCTGCTTAAACAGTTCAGCTAATGTTCACAGTTTATGTTCATGTTCTCCTCACAGGAGCCTCTGACCCAGATGTGAGGAGAACAAAAGAAAAGCGAGGTCAGGGCCACAGGAGTCACAAACTTTGTTGTTAAAAGTTTGCTGCTTTTTCTACAGTGGAGCTGCATGGTGGAGGTAAGTTAAACTTTAAAAGATTTTGTTGACCAGTTAAACTTTTATCTCTCAGCCTAGATAATGTTTTTTGAGTAATAATAACACAACCATGTTATTGTTGATGTTTTGTTCTTGTGTCAATTAGGGAGATGATCAGAGCCTTAAACCCCAGAGAACCTCAAAGAAGATCCAGGCAGAGACACAGAGGTGCAGATGTCTGCATCATCCCTACCTCAGTGAATCTAGTGACCTGCTGGTGGAATGTGAGGGACAATATGTCAAACTGACAACCAGGTATCTGTGTGTGCAACAATCATCATCTACAGCCTCAGAGTGAACATGTTCTACTTCTGGAGACACCATCACCCAGGAGCGGGCATGTTTGTGTCCAGAGAAAACAGACATGTTGATTTTTCTGAAGAAAAACTGTTCAGTGAAAAGGTCCTCGGTGTGTAGCAGTGATCATTAGACACTGACGTGTCACTGGTTTGTAACTGGTCTTTTGACCTGGAAATTATTTGTTTGTTTTTATGTAAGAAAACTGCTTGGAATGGAAAAATACCAAAGTTAAAAAAATAAAACTCACAATTTGTACTGTAATGTGTAATGTAATTTTATTCTTGTTAGAATAAATAGTATTTACAAAACTGGTACCGAAAAAGAACCGTCCAGGAACCGACACCGAAGTGAAGGTACCGACACCGGTACCGATTTTTTTAGAAAGGTACCCAGCCCTAGACAGAGGGGTCAGTTATGGACTGGGAGGTGAAATTGAAACTACACATCTATTTACCTAACTCTGGAACTGTGCAGCTTTACTTCAGAGTGAACTCTCATGTGTCTTTAGGACTCGTCTTAATATTCAGTTAAACTGTTTCCCTCCCTGTGAGGGTTTTCTTGTGTTTAACAGCAGACTGAAGTCTAAAACTTTGACCTGACTGCAGAGGAGAGCTTTATTTCCCATGTACTTTTTTGTGTCTGGTTAAATTTCTCTTCAGGCTAAATCCATGTCCACAGTCTTCGCATACAAAAGGTTTCTCTCCTGTGTGGACTCTCATGTGTTGGTTTAAATTAGAGATGTTGCTGAATCTTTTTCCACAGTCCTCACACACAAATGGCTTCTGTCCTGTGTGGACACTCATGTGTGTGTTTAAATTACTCTTCCGGCTAAATATTTTACCGCAGTCCTTGCATACAAAAGGTTTCTGTCCTGTGTGAACTACCATGTGTGTGTTTAAAAGAGAATTCACACTAAATCTTTGTCCACAGTCCTCACATACAAAAGGTTTATGTCCCATGTGGACTCTCGTGTGTCTGTTTAAAGACGACTTCTCGCTAAAATTTTGTCCACAAAGGTTGCATTCAAATGGCTTCTCTCCAGTGTGGACTTTCATGTGTCTCTTTAAACTTGACTTCAAGCTAAATTTGTGTCCACAGTCCTCACATACAAAAGGTTTTTGTCCTGTGTGGACGCTCATGTGTCTGTTTAAAGCAGATTTCTCGCTAAAACTTTGTTCACAAAGGTTACATTTAAATGGCTTTTCTCCGGTGTGGACTCTCATATGTCTGTTTAAAACTATCTTAAAGCTAAATTTGTGTCCACAATCATCACATACAAAAGGTTTCTGGTCTGTGTGAACCGACTTGTGGAAGTTTAAGTGAGACATCTGGCGGAATCTTTGTCCACAGTCCTCACATTCAAATGGCTTCTCTCCAGTGTGAACCCTCTTGTGTTTGATTAAATTTGTCTTCAAGCTAAATTTGTGTCCACAGTCTTCACATACAAATGGTTTCTGTCCTGTGTGGACTCTGATGTGTCGATTTAAATCTGCCTTCTGGCTAAATCTTTGTCCACAGTCTTCACAAACAAAAGGTTTCTCTCCTGTGTGTATTCTCATGTGTTGGTTTAAAGTAGAGCTCTGCCTGAATCTTTGTCCACAGCACACACACATAAATGGTTTCTTTCCTGTGTGGACTCTAATATGTGTGTTTAAAGTTGATTTCCGGGTAAATCTTTGCCCACAGTCCTTACACACAAATGGTTTCTGTTCTGTGTGGGCATTCATGTGTCTCTTTAAATCAGACTTGCAGCTAAAGTTGTGCCCACAATCCTCACATACAAATGGTTTCTGTCCTGTCTGGGCTCCATGTCTGTTTAAATCTGTCTTCTGACTAAATCTTTGTCCACAGTCCTCAAATACAAAAGGTTCCTCTTTTGTATGGATTCTCATGTGTAAGTTTAAATGTGTATTGCTGTTAAAACTTTTACCACATTCATCACAACTAAATGATTTTGGTCCTGTCTGGACTTTCCTGTCCTTCTCTTGGACACTTTCCTTCTGACCCAAACAGCTCGAATGTCTTCCTGTTGAATGACATGTCATGTGTCTCTGAAGTGACAGGTTGTGGAGAAATTCTTTACCACACTCAGAGCAGCTGAAACAATTGTTGACAGAGTTTACAGCTGACTCAGGAGCTCTGCTCTCCTTCCAGTTTTTGTCACGGTCTTCAGTTGTTGACCCAGAGTCTGACAAGTGTTCCAGCTGAGAGTCAGGATTGTTCCCATCCTCATCATCATCCTCACTGACTTCAGTCTCTGAAGAGCTGGAAGCATCTCCATGAGGATTTAGATCTGGGTTCATGCTGGTTTCTGCTCCTCCATAGTCCTCTCCATCAGCTTCTACTTTCATCTGGTCAGCTGAGCTGCTGGTTGGAACATCTCCATCTTCCATTTGGTGCTGATGAAGCTGTGAGAACAGAGGCTTCTCTTCATCATCATCACTCTTCACATGAAAGGCAGTGAATGTAGACCTGCTGGCATCAGTCTCCTCCTTTATAATGAGCTGCTCTCCCTCCAATTTCACCCAGAGTTCCTCCTCTTCCACTTTGATGTGGAGGAGCTCTGGGTCCTGCTGGTTCACATCAGGCCTCTGTTCCTCAGGAACATCTCCTCTGATCAGCAGAGTCTGCTGAACATCTGCAGGAAACACTGAAACACAGACAATACAGAGAGTTATAACTTTATATTCACTCATACATCACTTGTGTTGTTGCTTTATGTTCTGTGGATCAGAACTGTTCCATGTCAAAGAAACAACATTTTATTGAGCAAGAGACAAACAAATGTCTGTTTATCATCAAAAATACCAAAAATGTTTAAAATTCAATCACCTGATATGGATATTTGAACATTTTAGAGGGAATTTAAACTTTACTTGTTACATTTATTGTGCAGATTTTAATTTGTCTTCCTTATTTTCAAATTAACATGGAGCTTATTTTACTGAGAAAACTGCACAATGTTTAAAAATATATACTAATTTCACCTCTTTTTATTTCATTTGTGGAGTTGTTTCTGAACATTTTACCATCATCTTCATATTAATATTAATCATTAGGGGTGCGAATCTCACTGTCTGGAGATTTGATTAGATTCAGAAAGTACTTTGAGGAGCTAATGGATTAAGAGAATGAAGAGAAAGAAGAGTAGAGGTCATAGAAACTGTGGACCAGGAAGTGGACAAGATTAGTGAGGGTGAAGTCTGGGATGCTCTGAAAAGAATGAAGGGGAAGGCAGTAGGACCTGATCACATACCAGTGGAGATATGGAAATGTCTTGGAGAGATGGCAGTGAGGTTTTTGACTCAAATATTCAATGGCATATTTGAGGGTGAGAAAATGCCTGAGGAATACATTAAGTGTGCTGGTACCCATTTTTAAGAACAAGAGTGATGAAAAGAGTTGTAGCAACTTCAGGGGAATTAAGTTGAGTTACAAGATGAAGATCTGGGAGTTGTGGAAGCTAGACTTAGACGATGCGTGACTGTGAGCAGCAGTATGGTTTCATGCTAGGGCTGAACGATAGGGCCAAAACTTTCATCACCATGTATTTCTTAATTTCAGTCGATCTCGATAGAATTCCGATATCAATATAAACAATATAAAAGCCTCAGAAAAACTGTACAAAAAAATTAACGTTCACCTTTTATTTGTATTTAGCCTTCAAAGAAATTTGAAATCACCGTCAAACAAACATAAAACTCTCAACTTTGTCAATATTAATAGTTTTAACTTTAAACAACAACATAGCCTAACAACCCCGATTGGGTTTCTCTTTTGATGCAGCTGGTGGCGTTGTTTAAGAGACATGTTGGCTTAAACTTTTATTGTGCTTCATCTTCTGAATCTCAGCATATTCTATCAAGTGGAAACTCTTCAGCTGGTGGAACAAGTTAGACGTGTTCCCACCAACTCTCCGGCACATTTTGCAGCACACTGAAAACTGCAGTTCATCGGATCTTAGATAGCCGAACCACTTCCACACCGCCGAATTAGTCTTTCCTCTCTTATCAGTGATGTCATCTGCTTTCTCTCCGCTTGTGAAAGCTTGTTCAGTCACATTCTGACGGCCATGGGCGCTCATTTTCAAGCAAAAACTTACCGCGCGTTGGAGCTTCGCCTAGCCTGCTACCGCCGACTCCTTCTGGACTCGAGCTCTGTGTGTGGTGCACGTCACCACGCATTAACATAGTTGTGTCGCGGCTTTTTCTGTTCGGGGTGAAATGGCCCAAACAGAAAAAGAAATGTGTCAGTGAAACGCTGTAATCATAGCGTAATGTAGGGCTGGGCCATACGACCAAAATGAGAAACTCGATATTTTAAGATAAATCGCAATATACAATATATAGCTCAATATATTTTTTTCCATAAATAACAAAATATATTTGAGTCAAAGCTTTGTCTCAGTTGTCACACAGACACATTTATTAGCAACAGCTGTAACTACAACATAAATGTCTAATAAATGAATTATTTACATATAAAGTTAGTTTTTAGACTTTTTTTATTTTTATTTTTATATATATTAAATAACAATTCTCCCCCGCTGCACCGCCTTCACTTAAGTGTGTGTGAAGGAGCAGTGAGGAGCTGTTTGTATTCAGCGAGGGAGGAAAATTCCACTACTAGGTCCAGAGAGTTTTTAAATAATAAACAAATCAAGTATAAGGCTTCTTTACTGTAGTGCAAAATATATCAAATGTAGTTTTAGCCATATGTTTTAAACAGAAGAATATGTTGTCAACACAGACCTCTATTGTAGGGTAAATGTCTACCATTACTACCGTATATATCGTGCATTCCTAGTAAGGACATGTATCTTTATAAGAAACAGAATGTTGACCCAGTGACCCGGGCACTGATTGGCCGTCAGCTCTGTTTTCCCGGCCACCGATTTGTTTAGTTACGTCAGCTGTTTCCCCGGCCGCTGATTGGTAGTTACCGTCTGTTTACCATCGCTCTTTTTTAACTTGACTTCAAGCGTTATGTTTTCTAAACGTTCTGTGCGCTCAAGTCTCTGGCGGTGAACCGAAATGCTTAGTAACCCCGGCACTGATTGGCTCAGTCACCGTCAGCTCTGTTTAACCCGGCCGCTGACTGGTTGTTACACTAGCAGACGATCACTAACACACATAGCAGGGGATTTATTTATCGCCGGTATTTTTCAACTGGACGACTCCCAAACGTTGGGGTTCAAACGTTTTTGGTGGTGAATCGACACGTCAGTGGAAGATGCTGATGATTAAAGAGAAAGTCTAACTTCTGGACAAACTTTAAGATTGCCGTACCTATGCGGCTGTTACCGGCCGCCTACGGCACTGTTGTTAAGATGGAAGCTGCATTGGTCTTGTGGATTAATGACTGCAGAAAAAAACATCACTTTGGATACCAACACTAAAGGTGAAACAACTTTACTGTTTTATCATCTCTCAGCAAGCAGCATGGAGGAAGAGAAATGGCGATGTAAATGAGGAGCGGGGAGTGATTTGGATTAAAAAGTGCTTCTCTGCACGGAGAGGCTGCGTCCGCTGACCACAGGAGTGGAGGAGTTTGTTAACACAAGTTCAAAGATCTGATCACCAGGGGGGTCTACAGGTCTGAACGAGGTTTTTAACGTGGATGAAACAGGCCTGTTCTGGAAAAGGATGCCATCTCGCACTTTTACTATGAAGGACAAAGCCAAAGCGCCTGGTTTCATCTCATCTTCATCAACTTCGTCTTCATCACTGGACAGCTAATTTTTCATCTCCATCTCTTCATCTTCTTTGGTGAGTACCCATTTAGATTAATATTTTTAAAAGGTTTAAGAGTTTAGAAAAATGTTAGGAACATTGCAAGAGTGTGGGAAGGGTTCAAGTCATCAACATATACCGTATTTTTTGCCCTATATGTCGCAGTTTTTTTGCATGATTTTTTTTGGCACAACACTGGCCCACATTTCCGGGTTGGGCCCACATTTCCAGGTTTGGCCCACATTTCCGGGTTCGGCCCACAT